ATATTTCACTTAAATCAAGAAAAAATCTTTTCAAATATTTAACATTGAATCATGACGTTAATAGCATATAATAAACAAATTTAATTTAAATAAACAGGAAATGTTATCTTCCCTTATGTAAATTTAAATTCAAAGAACTGATTGAATTTAAAGAATACACTGATTTTCATTTTGAATATAGTTTTCGTGTTTACATCACACAGTACCCTAACTTGATCAAGTTATAAAACATTTATCATCTCTGCTAAGATACATTTTAAACAATGACTTTACTGAGAGTTCACTATTAATTAATTAAGTTGACCAACAGAGTTTTGCTTTCTTCTACTTCAGTCCAATCCTGAAGGGGCGGTCGATAGGGTCAATAGAAGCTCTTTTATACTTATTTCATACTTACATCTATGCTAAGGGGTTGATTGTCCTCTAAAACTTCCATCTATTCTTTTAGAATCAAATATTTAACCATCATTGCTTTTTCATCGAATGAAGTTGATTGTGGCAATTTCTGTATTCGAAAGACTGAATTATATGTTAGCAGATATTTACTGACGTAAAGATGCTAACTGAAAATTGCAGGAAGTTGCAAACTGATGAATATTTTGAAATATAGACCAATAAATCTTAATGCTAAATCGTATTTTGCTCAAAACATCGAAGCCTCAAGGATCATTTTACAAGTCGTTACTAGTATTTGCTCTTTGGGAATTATGAGTAAAAGGTACTTACGTTCTCCGAAGCTTTGCCTACGTAATCATATTCTTATTTCCAAATCAAACTGTGTACATCCTACAATTAAACAAATAATGGTCACCGAGTTTGTTAGTGATGATTTGAATACCTCTTTTAACCCGTCTTTTTCACTCAAAGGTAAAAAATAATTTCTTTTAAGAATTTATGGTAAATTATTTTTTACGTAATTTTAACTGAACTAAGATTACTAATTCTGATAGTATTAAACACTAGCATTAAATGTGCTACGCAATCATTCATGTTTACCAGTGAACCCATTAACTTAAATTCCCTGGTCAACTGTGTCTGTCGTGAGGCAGTTACCCATTGAGAACAATGATGGACGGTCGTGCAGTACTATGGATTGGTTGAAGTTAAACATTAACACCATTGGATGTCAGCTCAGTGTTTACGCGCGAGATCGAATGTTCTGAGTTTGAGTCCCGCTTGAAAGACCGTGTTTGCGCACTGCTGAGGAGTCCGATACTAGGATATTAACGGCTGTCCAGTGCTTCCGTGTTTTCTATGGTAGTCTAGCTTAAATCGACTCATGAATCGAACTATTAAATTACTACCACCTCCACAAACCCCCATTCTGATGAAAATATATTTACTGTAGTCTGAACTAAAATACTATACAATCCTATTAAATTCGATTATTCGTTGTTGTTACCCTGAAGAGGTCTAACTAGATTGCTGGACAAAACGCCTGTATTATTTTAATTCCAGTCGTTAAGATTACTAAAAATATATTATTTACAAATAATATCATCTAAATACTCGACTAACGATTTCTGCCAAATCATTCTCTCAGAAATCGACGAATATTCCAACAGAAAATTCATGTTATATTTTGTTTAAATATTTACAACTTTATAAGATCTCTTTTACTTCAATATTATTTCATATAAATATTCCTTACAGAGTGCATAAATGACCTATTCTTATATTTTTTTCTTATTTTAGATTACCTTATTCATACTTTACAAAAGAATGATAAAATAGGAGATTTAACTAAAATTTATCCAACTGTTCATGATGCAGTGAATGATGCAATTATTCAATTGAATACAATAAAAGTTAAAGAAAGAAATTTCCTGCAACTGAATGAAGAAACTTTAACATCATAAACAAAAAAGATTTTTCAACAAATATATCGACTTAGCAACTGTCAACAGAAATAAACTAAAAAGACTAATCAATTTCCAATTAATTTATCAAACATTTTATTGAACTATTGAAAGAAAAAAATAATAATAATAAACTGTTATCACATTTATTTACAAAACAAATTTCCTAATTATTAATTAATCTATTTTTTTAACTAAATGTTATCACATTTTGTGCATAAAAATAATTTGCAATGATCAAATTACATTTATTTATGTAATGAAATATTTTTTTATCTTTCTATTACAATCTAACATAAATTACAGCAAGAAAAAAAAACAAAAAAAACATTTCAATGCAAACAGGTTGAAATTAAAATAAAGATGGATAGTGGCTAGCAGTGGAACCAGGACGCGTGTCTCGTCGTATTTGGGACTCGTCAGTTGGATGTACCCTGTATCTCAGGGTTGATGTTCACTTTGTGACTCGAACCTAGTACCATTCTCTCGAAACGCCATCGCGTTATACATTTAGCTAGCGCGTATTGATAGCCACTTGCTTGTGCAATGCGATGAATTTAAACTCATTTGATATGATGTTTGAAGCGAACGGTACTGAGTTGGAGTACTAGAGTGAACATCAACTCTGAGATGCAGCTACATCAAGCTGACAAGTCCCAAGTAGGATGAAACGCGCGTAAAACTGGATTCCACTGCTAACCACTATCCATCTTTGCTTAAAAAGCTTGTGACTTGAGACTATAACGATGCGATCCGCACAGGATGCACATATGCCAATAAGAGACTGATCAATTGCAGTCCTAAATAATAACTGATAGATACAAGTAAAACAACACCAAGTGAATAGGAACTAAAGTTTAAATTCATAACGAAACCTACGGAATATGATTTCATTTTACTAAATAGTAGTGGAACGTACCTAAATCGATAATATGAGAATATCACATTTTATTTTGTACGATACTTTTGTAAATCTTGAATAATAATTAGACATTTAAGGTTATTAATACACAAAAAGTTCATCCGTTGTAATATGGATTTTCAAAAACTTTTATTACCTATCAAAGCGCTTTCATAACATCATTATTATAATACCAAATTAACGCAAAGTATATTTTTATTCTGTTAAATAATAATACAAGTTTAAAATCAACTCTATTTGTCAACTATAGTCAATTAGAAGTAAGATGGCTGAGGGAGAAAATGCTTTTGAATTTATTTGTAGGAATAAAAAAATAAATACAAAAGAGACCTAAGTTTGTAAAGGGAACAAACGTCAAGTTTACCACAGACATTTCAACGTCAATAATTATGTATGAGAATCGGTCTCTAGATCCGTGATTTCAGTTGATTTAGTTAACACTAATATGTTGTCAGTAATGGGAAGACTAGATAATGTGACACAACAAACGATGTCTGACAAGTTAGTCATATGATAATCATAATTTTGGTTAACAACATAGCCCCAACAGTTTGGCGTTATATTAAGCTGATTTCGCCAACGTTTTGTACCATTTTAGTTGTGTATACCTCATTTTGGCCCTGTGCCTTTCCATTTTCATATCTCTTTCCTTACAATAACAGAATTTCTATACCACTTCTCTATAACTTTATTTATATATCGCAATAATTTCAATCCCAAATATTAGAATTTTGCCTAAAAATTTTGCCTCTAAAAGGATAAAATATCTCTTAATTTTGTACAGTATTAGTAGAAACAATAAGTTTTTCATTCGACATAAAAAGTCAGAACGTTTTACTTATATATGCATTTCCTTTTATCCGTGTGGGTTAATCATAAACCTGTCTATCCAAGCATAAATACTTTCTTTAATTATAAAATCTGGTTTCGAATTCACATTCACACTGGAATAAAAACGATGAATACATTCCCTGTTCTTATATTGAATCAAGTCGAATAAAATGAATTGTGAGAACTAACTTAATCCATTTAACTATTAACAACTGAAAGATAGTGAGACTATCGTAAATAAAAACTGACCTTTGATTGATTCTGGTTTGATGTGTTACGTAACAAACAAACTGGAAATAGCTGGATGCAATTAGATATACTTCCAGCAAAAGTGATAGCATGACAGAAATACTCAACAGTGATTTATAAAATTATGTAATAACCTAAAATATTGTACGACCATATTAATTTTTGTGTAAATCATTTTTGATTTCTGCCAAATAACAAACAAAATCTTAGGCTATAACACATCATAATGCTTATGAATAAGCTACTAAGGAATTTTAAAATTGGATTGAGAAAAAGTCACCTTATGAACTATTCAGAATAAAATACACATTTAAACTTTTTAACAGAAACGCGCATAGACCTATTCTTACAAAACTAAATACTCTATTGTCTAAGCTTATAAAAAGGTCATTACAACAAATAGTTACTCTTTTGAGTCCAGTCTGAACCATTTATTCGGTAAGTGTTATTTAACAACAGATTTATACTACTTCAAATGTTACTTTAACGAGATATTACGTAGTTGACGCTCGTGAATATGTAGTTGATAAATCACAGTTTGAAGACAAGATCGATTTGTTTTAAACACAAATTTGATGTATCCTTATGTTACCTGATGAATTTAGTTGATATTGATAATAATAAAATCTGATTAGATAAAAAAAGTGTACATTTCGTCAAGTCACTAATTGGGATGAACAACTTTAGAGCCTAATAATAATACTTCGTTCACACATTTTGTAATTATGATGAACAATTTTCAGTTACAAATATTGTATTAGACAAAATGAATAAACTGAATCCGCAACAATTTAAATAATTTGACATGCTTGTCTCAATTCTCACATGTGAAATAACCTTGACTCCATCCTAAAAAAAACATTTCCATTATTGTCTCAATATTGCATTTGAAGGACAATGGCATGCCGACAAACTTTACATCGATTGCCAAGCAAATCAGAAACTTGAGCTAATCTTGCCCTTTTATACAATAATTTTCATGGAATCGACTATAAATATATTCCATGGATGATCATACACCATAATCAATTCACAGTTTTATTTATGAGAACAAGATTATTTTAGTGACACAGAAACCTGAAGATCATAATAAAATCTTAGCCATCTTATCATTGCATACAACTCAAAATAACCCATGTTAGAAATTTAGAATAAGCCTACGTTTTCCTGACAAATCGAGCATGGAAAGAAAAAAGATATATATTGACAAAAAACTCTGTCTTAGATTTAATTTCATTTGACGAAAGTTTTGCCTAAATACAACTAGGCACCTCACCACAATTTATGATGTTATCCACTCTATCAAAATTTCGATTTCAACCGAAATTAAGTTCAATTACATAAAAATAACAAACGGAAAAACACTATGTAAGTTAATTTTGGTCAAAATATCTTTTCTGTATCAATCAATGATAATATAAAGTAGACAATATTGAACATGGGAACAAATCATGAACTTTTATTGTTCTGATCAGTGATATATAATAAGTTTAACAATCACAAAATAAGCTATTGAAAACAAAACGAATAAAAATAATGATAGACTAGATTATTTTCTGTAGACATCATTATTGTACACAAATGTTATTACGGAAGCATAATATTAGGAAAATAATATATTTATCTGAAAACTTTCAATATTATATATGTTGTTCTAAAATATTTATCACCAATCCTCCAAAAATGGACGAATATGAATAAGTTCTGAAAATATTATTAGCATAAGATCATGAAGAGGTAATTACAAAACACAGTTATGCTATATAACGAATGTTATGAATTTATAATCACCGAGTTACCAGAAATAAGCACGAAACTCTTAGCAATAATAATGGAAACCTGAGAAATTCAATCAGTTCTTGAAATTTGTATTCTAATAAATACCAAATTTAGCTCCAAACTCTCTTCGAGATTGAGTAAGCGATGTTTTTACAGGAAATAATTCACATGTCTGTTTTGAAGTGATTAATTTGTTTAAACGACAATTAAGAGCAAAGGAATATGCTGCTTCTTGCCAAGGTAACTTTTTTGGTACATTTCTTGAAACTGACGTATAACAAGATGAAGTATCTGTGTCATTCAGAGAAATTGATTCATGAGACACTACAACTGATGATTGTGTAGGTGTAATTTTTGACTCTTTTAAATTATACATATTGTTGTCCTCCTTTAATCGATTATATTCTTTAATCATATTCATTAAAATTAATTCATTAATAGTTTTTTTCGAATAAATTATATTGGTATCATAAATATTTTTATTATATACTAAAGAATTTGTAGAGTTTACATCATAGTCGATATGATCAGTATGATTGTTCGATATAGTATGACCATTCAGTGTTCCATCTGAGTACGAATACTTAAAAAGTATGATAAAATGAAGTAAAAACAGAAGATTTAACTTGTTTTGTTTCCAAATAAACTAAAATATTTAAACTATATAAGGATAATTATTCATGATTGAAAATCACTACCAGTTACCAATATGAAACATCAAAGCCTTAGTCGAATAACAATATAAAAGTATTTCAATCAATTTTTCTCAGTGAAATAATACTATCACTACATAAAATTACAAAAATAATAGATAATAGTTACATCAGATACGGTATACTTTCTAACTCCGTATATTCCAGTAAATAATATTATGATTAAACCGGGTTTGATTAAATCATAACACATTCATAGCACAATGAACGTACTATAAAAGTAACGACCCAAGAATTTGAAAACAAAAGTTTAAAATTTTGACGAGTTAGGTGTTCAGTTAGAGAACCTGCAATATAGATCATAGTTTATTATAATAACGGATGTAGCGTAGGTCTCTCATTTCGCCTTTGGCTTATATCAAATATTAGATAACGTCATAATCATCACCACCGTGATTAGCATTTATGGAAAGCTAATCAACTGAATAAATATAAGCTTATTTACCAAAAGACTGAGAACATTTATTCCATGAATTATCCAGTATTCGGGAATTTCATGGAGCCTCAGTAAGATTGGTTGCGTGTTAAATAAAATCCATGACCAATTAAAAATAGAAAGACTTTATTGTCACAAAAATTCAATGAAACCATCTTCCTCTAGAACCTGAGTCCGAAATCATTTTATACCTTGATTTTTCTTTTTCTGTGTTAATTTCTTCGACAACATATGCCCTGGAATTTTCCTTAAAATCATTTTGTCTCTGTACCAAAGTAGTAAGGCAACTTGAACCGATGCACATATTTTTTAAATCCTTCGTTGTGTAGGAATCACTGACTGACGAACCTTAGCAGAAAAATGACAACTACCACAGAATATTCTTCACAGCCGGTAAACATAGTCCTTTTTTGCTACTTTTATAAACTTAAGGTCAAAATATATCTCAAAAATAATTTCTTTATGGAATGGCTTCTGACGATAAGCAACTCTAAATAGCACGCACTATCAACAAAAGAGACAAGACTATATGTGATAAAAAAAGTGTCACATTTATCTTAAGCTAGTGCTTCATTAACAGTATGATGCCAGCTAGATGCATTATTTACTTCAACTTATCTTTGAGGAACAACGATGAAGAATTTTCAACTAATCGAATCCAAGCTTGTTGTCAAACTACTCTGATTGTAATATTTTACAAAATCCTACCCAGATATCTGGTAGAAATTATAAAGTCCAATGAATTACCTATTATTAACTTTGCGATACCTTTCAGATTTGGTGGACGTAATAAGATGATGCCTTATATTCTAGGTCAAAAAATGCATTACATCAAACTGGTTAATGCTCATCAATAATACATATCAATAAACAAACAAAATATTGAAAAGTAAGGTTATCTAATTGCAAAATATTAATAATCAATTAGCTAGAGACTATTGATAACGTATATTTTATAAAATATACCTTGTAAATTATAACCACACAAACCATTCGTTAAAAGTTAGGGCCAAATCAAACAACAGTAATGCCATACATGACAGTTATTTGAATGAACAAAAGCGATATCACAGTATAACTGTTTCATATCAGCTAACTTATGTTCTGATAATTTTAGCCGCATACTGTATATATACACCAGAAACAAACATTTTTGACTAAAATGAGTATATGCGAATCCAAGAGTTTTGCGTTGAGAAAATCGGACTTGAAATAAATACTGTAAATGTAGCATAAACTGGACGTAACTTTACCACTTGAGTTCAATATACGGTCCACTTAAAAAGAATCAAAATAAAAATCTCATTTTTTTAACTATGATTGTGGTGTGTGCTACTTATATTGACATAAGCAGTATATGATGTTAGTCGTGAACAGAATGTTTTGCAGCAGAGAGACAAGATGATCGAACAGTAAACAATGGAAACAGGATGCAATTTGTGTGAAAATGCAAGAACAATGAAGTCTGAGTCATTTTGAGACAATTGGTTGACATTTTGCAAACTAAGCGTTTACCTTATGATAGATTTTATTAACAAGTCCTGTAATTTTGCGTTAAATACATTCGATTGTCCCCACCCGTGTTCTGTTCACTATGAGATGACCTATCTCAATTCAAGAATTTGTATTAATTTGACTATATTTATAAATAAACAATAACCGTTCAGTATCATTTATGAAAGCGAAACTTTTATTGATTCAATTCATATACTTACTTTCATTGGTAAACAGATTTCTAAACTATTAAACCTTGCTAATTCACATAATTTAAGTTTTGTATTGTTAGAATGTTTAATTGATAATTCTTTACCACTCAATTCATCAAGAAAGGATTTCTTATTAGGATCATCATTTTCATCAGCAGTAACAGACCAATCAGCGTTCTCTTGCCAAGATTTTACAGCACCAATTAAGTTCTGATTTATACACATTTTAGGACTATCATTTAGCGTGTCATCAATTTTTTCATTCAGAATATCTAAAGAAGAATTATTGCAATTATTCTTGTCATCAGTTTCACTGAGATTATTCTCAGAGCAATTTCCTAATGTATCATAGGAATCAAAACTTATTGACTTGACTGGATAATGACTATTTGTATTCGATATTCTAAATGACGATGATTTCTAAAGTTAAAATAAACACACAAAATAAAAAATGCTTTATAAATTATAACGAAACTAAACTATTAGACTGAATGAATCTTATGCTTTATATGTGTTTTATTCACAAGTAAACTAAGCATGTATAAAGTTACAAATAAACAAATAAACCCATCCAATTATTATTGTTCATGTCCCAAGAATTAGGATGGTAGAGATTAGTAAATTAAAAAGAAATGTAAATATTTATTCAGAAACAGGTTAGTGAACCTTGTCCAATTCTACAACAGGTTAATTGATGTCTCAAATAGCTCAGAGACAATGGATGTAAACGAGGAATTAGGTTAGTCTGGTTCAAATTCTATGGGGATTATCAGTTCTATAAGAATAAAAATATGTCTTTCCAAGCAGTCCCAACTAAAATAAAGCACGGGTCTATGGCTTTCAACCATATAATATAAATGAAGTTAGTTTTCATATACTGCTAATTCACTATATTTTGGTTTGAACTATGGGAATACATTTGTTCAGTCATATTATAGTAAATTCCAACTGATTACCATTTAATTTTGACTACAGAATGTCATTTTGTGCAACATGAGATGTAATACAAAAGCAAATGGTATATGTTTTGTGTCCCCTTACCAATATTAGAATAAGATAATTCAATGATTGAAAAGTAGCCTGTTTAAAAACTGTTCTTATACTGTAACAATTTCCTTCATTTTAGATTTAACTTAATACTATGAAGATCAAAGAATTATCCAATTTTAGTTAATGTTACAACTTTATTGATAGACATAACTGCAAGTACTTTTTTTGTTCAAATATTCACATAACCTCAGCTCATTTTTGACCAGTCGTTACTACGTTTAGTTTTTAGTATGTCCCTAAAAAGTGTTTTTGTTACTATGTACTAAGAACTATACTATTTCAATTTATCTTCTTAAATATTCCAGTTTCCGGATTTACACGTTTTTCTGATTACCATAGTCCCGTACCGAACCCAATCTTAAGACATGGCATACGTAAATAGTTGATAATTTCTACTGATGGAATTATTTACTCATTTATATCATTCAGTCAAAAATAATGTAGTATAGTGGCATATTTTTGTCTCTCTATCTCTCTCTATCCGAAACTATCAGGCAACAAACACACAAGTAAAATATATCTAATAAGCAAAGAACGATCATAAATAATACTAGTTTTACATTAGTAGTAAAATAATAAATTCCCTCTTCTCTAACTCTAAAATCAAATTTTACAAGTGATAACTTGTAACAGTTTTAGTATAGAACTCTTAAAGCAAAAACTTACATTTGGTGTATATTTTCTTTGTGGGAGTATAGCAATCATATTTGTTTGATAACAGACTGATTTTAAAATATTTGTCGGTAGAACAATAATAGTTGAAAGTTGACGTGTTTGTTGTTTTTTATAATGAGATTTTAATTGGTCAAGATTTCTTGTCATACGAGCCTGATCAGCTGAAGATGTTTTATGCATAGGGATCAAATCTGGGGCATCACTAACTGCTCCTGGACCAATCTAAAAGTAATGTAATATTATGCTTAATAGCAACAGAATTAAGAAAGATAGAATTTAATACAAAACATGACACGAATATTCAAAAAATGATACATAGTTCCTAACAAATACTTATCTACGATGGTAATCTTCTAGATTATAAACCACAGTGATAACGTGCAACTTCGCCTAAAAACAGAATAATACCATTTTCGCAGGTTATAAATTTCGATTTAGTTTGAATCCACCAACGGGAAATGTCTCAGGAAAATGAAAATCCACTGCACAGTGGAGAATTAGATAAGAAAGTTTCTGTTGTCTGGTTATAAACAACAATGAACTGGACTAATTCTTAAAGGTTGTAACTTGCCACAATTCGCATCAGCACAGAGGGAAAAAATTTACAAGAGACAGATCAAAACAGTCGAAACACTAGCATTATCGAAAATAATGAATAAAACCGAAATATAACCACATAAAATAACATAAATGCTCACTATGTAGAAGAAAGATTAATTATGAATATCTTACAGACCCCAATCAAATCAGAGAAACTATGTGAAAAGAAGGAAAGTCGGCTATTTATTACTCTTGATTGAAACCGTTTAGTAAAACATAAACCAGTTTACGCTTAAAAATGATTTTATCTATACATTCCAAGGTAAACAGAAAAAATACAGACAAAAAACAGACAAACTGACGTATTTTAGACTTGTGGAGTGCATTACCAGCTGACATCAATTGCGAAATTGGATACAGATTGCAGTCAAAAATAGTCACATAAACGTTGAGACTATCAGAACAAGACATATTGTCAAACAACGAAGTCAGTGACCACATTATGGACAATACCAGCGACATTCTCACCAGGATTTCCTAACTTGAACCAAAGATGCATAGTCGATACCTATAGGAAAACTTACTAAGCATTGAGGAAATCGATTAAAAACTTATTACTGTTAATATTTGTCTTTGAAAGTAAGAGAGATAGACGTCTTACTTAAGCTGCGATCAAAGCTAAGAATTTCCAAATTTTAAACTAAAGTATTCGCCTAAAGTAAATGGACTGTGGCCAGGAGTGGAATCTAGGATACGCATTTCATATTATTTGGGACTCGTCATTTGCATGTGGCTGCATCTCATTGTTAATATCCAAATCGGAGTTCATACACAGTCTCCTTTATTTCATAGGTCAACAGGTTACTTCTGACCGTAGATAACTGCTATTTTGTTTAACGTGTATGATGCTTACACCACTATTTATACATCAGCACAAAAGACTGATATTCACTTACAACTTCCTACAAAACCAATGAAGCTAGAACAGAAATGTTTAAAATTTCCTTGTATACAATGTCATGATGATTATCACTAAGATTTTTCTAGGTTATCAAAAAAATTCACTAAGATAAAAATGGTTTTTAAATTTCCATGAAACGTACACACATATCATCTTTCATCAATATTTCAAACTATGTTCAACAAGTCGATTGTAAAAAGTCGGTTTTTTCGAGATGGCATGGGGAACTTTCAAAACAAAAATATGAGTAAAAATGATTAACAACTATTCGCTCAACGTAAATTTATCGACTAACTAGAGAACAGTTGAAAAGACAAATGCTAGTAGACTCTTAGTTAACAAAGAAATCAAGTGGGGGTGATAAATTTATCAGTTCCTTGAAAAAGCTTGGACCAGGTTGCCAGGCGAAACGTTGGATTTACTTCAAATTCTTTCGCTGAGATTTCGCAAATATATTCTTCCTCTTTAATGTAATAAATACTCACTTGATATTGTTTTACTTGAATTTTCCCATTGATGTTTTTGGACTGAAATTGATCAGTCTCTTATTGGCATATGTGCATACTGTGCGTATGCCTCGATATTGCCTAAATTTACAGGACGAAACGCGCGTCCTGGATTCCACTGCTAGCCACTATCCATCTTTGCTTATAATGCTTGTAAATTTAGGCAATATCGAGGCATACGCACAGTATGCACATATGCCAATAAGAGACTGATCAATTTCAGTCCAAAAACATCAATGGGAAAATTCAAGTAAAACAATATCAAGTGAATTCAACTTCAACCCATTGCACAAGCAAGTGGCTATCAGGACTCAGTAGCTTAGTGGATAACGCGATGGCGTTTGAAACGAACGGTATCTGAGTTCGAGTCCCAGAGTGAACATCAACTCTGAGATGCAGGTACATCCAGCTGACGAGTCCCAAACAGGACGAAACGCGCGTCCTGGATTCCACTGCTAGCCACTATCCATCTTTGCTTATAATAAATACTCTGTTTGGAAATCTTCCATTGGTTGTCCTTTACATCCTCCATGACTCTTCGAGTTCCCATTCCTTTATGTTTCTCCTTCTATTTTCTTCAGTTTAATCTTCTCAACTTTTTTTTAACAGGCATTGCACTTCCGATTGATGTTACATACTAATTATGTTTGAAGAATACATCACATGCCTCCGTCATATTTCCTTTTTTAAACTATACTACTTACAAGTAGGTAAAGTTCGTATAGAATGTTTTTTGTTAATTTACAGTGTTTTACGTCAATATATTGTTTGTGTTAAGTTAATTAACACGGTGTCCTATGAATTGTAGTTTATCTAACAGTGACTGGCCAACTGTTTTAGCTGCTGAGTTATCAAACAAATGCAGAATCATACACACAGTAAGGTACTTCATGTAAACATTTAGAGTTCCTTGTGTATGTAAATCAGTGAAACTAATTGACAGGTTAATCTGGTTTTATTAGTGAATACGTTAGAGACACAAATTAACGTAGAACCCAATAAAAATATATGATACATGCCAACAGTATACAGGATAAGTGGCCCGAAAAGAAAGAAGTTAAATCAGTCTTTACGCAATAAATTATAATCTCTGACGAATTGTAACTTGAATATACTACACAATATGACATAAATTTACAGACAGCTAAGAAAGTAATTAACTATTCTGAAGTTTTATCGAAAGCGTCACTACACTGAATTGAACGGCATTTCAGAAAAGTTAATTTTCAGATTTCTCTCTGACAAAAATATCTGAGACTTATGTATATATTCCATCTTCAGCAGCAATATCCTACAGAGAAATATTAAAGTAGAGGGAACTTGTTGACAAATACTAACGACACATTATGTTTCTGTCTCAGGGTTCAAAAACATCATTAACTCAGTGGGACTAATACTAGTCTTCAAGCAACCACATCTCAGTGGTCGTCGATCTCAATAGGGTAAGACAATCAGAAGTAGCCAAATGAGAAGGCCAATTGGTGGCAACCAGAAGTGACCCGAAGAACAAGTGAGTTTCATTAGCTTGGAAACGGACTGATTTATATATATATATATATATATATATATATATATATATATATATATATATGGGAAATCGGGCATTTTATTCGGTAGCCCAACATACTTTCTCGCTCACTCTTGAGTTCTCGCCCAAGTAGTCAGTTTGTGGGTTAAACCGTAGCACGTTGTGTATCAGTATCAGATTTTGGACATCGCCCGTCATAAAACATCACATACATGACAGGTGTAAAATAAATTACAAAAATTATCATACTTAAAGTTTATAGAAATCCTAAAGTTTTATTAGACTCTTAATCCAACAAGCACCGTTATTCAGATATTGTATGCAGACCAAAAATTCTTCAAACATATTAATACGTAAAAATTAGTAAGCAGACAGACCTACCTCTATTGAAATAATTAAGATTGAAATAGCAATTCTCGAAATCTTAAAATGTGTAAAGTGCATTAGAAAACATATGTCGAAAATATTTTTTGTTGTAGCCTCTGATATCATATAATTCAAACTGATCGTCTGTCTAATATTAATAAAGTACTTTTACGTAGCATTATATGCATATGTTTTATAAACCAAATGTTTATTTTATTACACTAAGCGAGAAAAAAACATTATACATTACAAATATATAACCAGAATGGGTTTTGTGGAGATTTTTAGAAATTTCACAGGTTGAAATCATGAGTCAATTGGACCTAGACCACCATGGAAAACCTGGAAGTACTGGACGGTCGTTTCGTCCTAGTATTGGGCTCCTCAGCAGTGAGCATCAACTGCTCACTAGTGACTGACTTCAGGAGATACTCCTGGAGTTCTAGTGGGAAGCCGTTACCAGTGGAGTTCAACTAGGTCTGTTGTGAGATATCAGCTCACTGAAGACAATGGTGTACGGTAGCTCAACTTCGTGGATTGGCTGAAGTTAGACATTAACACCGCTGGATGCCGGCCCAGTGGTCTAGTGGTTAAGTGCTCGTGCGCACAACCAGTGGGTCCTGGGTGCGTATCCTGCTGGGTGCGGGATCGTGGATGCGCACTGCTGAGAGGTCCCATACTAGGACAAAACGGCCGTCCAGTGCTTCCAGGTTTCCCATAGTGGTCTAGCTTCAATTGACTCACGATTTCAACCTGTGAAATATGTAACCGTTATTCCACGATAGATCATCTTGCTTTTAAATGAATAACAATACATTTACGCATTTAAAGCTTATGTTATGAAATATTTATTATCAAAATGTGAAAAGTTTGATGCTTCAATGCCGCTCTTTTTCTAAATTAAATTCCACGTAAAATTAAAATTCAAGGATATCACAATACGTAAAGACAGTGTATTATCAGCAACCTGCTAAGACGTTTAATTATTCAGAAATTACAAGAAGGTCTAGGTTTTTAAACAGTAGTCTACTTACTTGACTAATATCTGAATTCGCCTTTACTCTGCCGTCTTTCAGTGGACAACTTTCTATATTCCTCAGACGAAATACATTTCCAGGAGGAGTATCATTAACAGAACATTGTAATGACTTCACTGAACTACTTTCAGTAACATATAATTGATTAGAAAATTTTGAGTCAATATTATTTGGTTTGTCAGGCCAAAATGCTGAAAAACATTTGACAGTTCCCCTAACTTGATCACTGGAAAATCGGTTTATTGAGTTATTGTGTGCTTCTTTAAAATGAGTATTACTAGTCTGGCCATTTTGAGCTTGTTTACGAGAAAACGTCCCTATTTCAGAATCCATATCCATAGTCAAACTAATTTCTTGATAATTATCTCCCATGCATTCTTCTTCATTTAATTCCGTAGTTGACAAACGTCTCTTATCCGTGTTTTGTACACAGTGACTGCTTTTTATATCACAATGTCGTTTTTCTTTAACTGTATATCGTGTTGAAATAATAAAAACAAAAGTATAATTAATAAATCAGTGAATGTAATATTGAATTAATAAAAAGGCATAACTTCACATTTTGATGACAGCCGTTTTTTTGTATATTATCTCACCACCTCTCTAAAGGAAACACAAACAGAATTTACTTTTTTCCTATACAAGATAACTATCATTACTGCAATAGATTAATGCGAGGTAACTTCTTAATGAACGACATAAATGACTGTCCTTTTGATGTGATTATAGATTAAAGTAAGTTTCAATTATTATGAACAATTTCGGACAATGGTACTTAGAGTCTATATCTTATCATCTTGAAGACACAAAATAGAAGAGCCTAAACCACCCTGTGTATATGAGAACAACAGTCAATAAGCAAACTGATGAACTAGTACGATATTCAAAATCAACTCTCCCTAGTTTCTATTTAAACTATTTTTGGTTCATAAAGTGTCACATGGATGGGTTAAACATAATCAATTCAAGGCCTGTTACAAATGAGCATTAGTCCGGGTTACCATATCACATTAGCATGATGAGACGAAATTAAAAAGATGAGTAGTAAATGAGTTAAAATAAAATGAGATCAGTCATAATAAGAAAGAATAGACAGTGAAAATACAGTTTAAAAGAGTAAATGATATGTATGAAGAAATGCTATAACTCCAAGTTTAGAGAAATATAAAAATTTAATACACCTGCACCATGTTACTTATAACCTTCAACCACTATTTGTGGTTATCACATAGATACCAACCAAGTAGTTTGCAGACACCAACATGATTCAGATCAAAAGATGACGAACTCGTGGACTGGCATCACGTTTTGTTTTGGAAGCCTCTAGTTTTATTCCAGATTATTTTTCACTGGTAAGCACTTTGCATTGAGGTAAGAGGTTGTAAGGATATGTGATAAGCATATCAGATCACTCAGTCGATGAAGTTGTACAACCTTATTAACCGGTTTTTCACCTCTGCCTAGTACCCTATGCCTAACATTGATAGTGCTCACTTGATCGTTGCATGACAGCTATGATCAAAAGCCTGTAGCTTATCATTGTCTTCTACTTTTAAAGACCATGTTTCACAGACATAGTAAAACAGAGTGAATTGTTGCGCCAAAACATGTCCTTTGATTGGTGAACGGATATCTCACCTATGCCACACGTGATTTAAGTTGGCAAAATCCAACCGAATTCTCTGAATCCGTGTATAGATTCCTATATATATTCATGTAGGGACAATTCAAAATATTAAAAAATTCAACAATAATACCACACTAAAACAAATTTGGAAAACTTCAGCTTAGATGAAAAGAAGGTGGAATACTTTATTTAACAAATGAAGTCAGAAAAACATTTAACAAAATAACATTGCTCTCAGTAGAAATAAATCAGAACAATAATAGAAAAGTTGGCTCAGAATAATAATTTTAGCATATTGGCTAAAGGTATTGTTTATTAAAATGTCTTTTTTTTCTCAGCATGAAATAGTATGTTAATTGAGCAGAGTATGGTATAAAATGACCGAACAATTCAAATAATTCTTATTCGACTTTCTTTCCCTCTCATGTATAATAACTTGTCATCACTTTCACGCTATATCTGTATAAACAGCTTATACTGATGATTATATTATTGAACCGAAAGTTCAGATTGACAATTAACTAAGAAGACTTTAAGTTATTTGACTATTATGAATTATATCATGGCATTCGTATAATAAAACATGAACACTGATAATATGCAACCCACATACTGCCTAAAAGATCGATTTCTTAAATGTAATACTGATCATAAAATATACAAAAGTAGACTTACTATATTCATCTTTGGTGACTTTGGAAGATCTAGTAGTTTTATTCAAATATCTACACAAAAACAAAACATAAAAAGAACCGATCATAACTAGTCATAATGAATGCTTAAAAAAAAGTTGCCTCAGCAACTATGTGTTGTTATAACTCTCTTTTCAAGAGACATAAACAAGACACTTCAGAACTAGTGTTTTTTATGCATCTCACGCACACACACATGTTAAGCTAGTTTGACCACAAAGTAAACTGTTGCATGGTTACGAATACATCAACAATTCCGATAACTCACAAAAAACTGACTCAATTTATTTGAATGTAATCATAAATGAATTAATTAAACAAAAATGATACGAACTTATATCAGTTTACTTTTCGTCTATCCGTTTAATCAGATTGATCTGTTCATAAAAATGAAGTGCATAAACAATAATCATACGATTTGCTGATAAAGTAAGAAATCCCTTACGTTGTTCATCATAAAGACGATGATGAATGAAGTTAAATACAAGAAGAGAATAACGATGGTATTGAATTGCAAAGTAATGAATGAAGACTTGATGGGGAAAATCAACGTATTGTATTATGCGAAATCACACAGTATCTTTGTAAAATACGGAAATCATACATTCAATACATCATTTGCATATCTTCCTTGATTTTTCCTTAACATATTTTCTCATTCTTCCAATCCTATTGTAGATTCGATATCTCTTTGTTTTCCTACCTCTTCTCTTATTTCAATCTTCTGCTGGTAAACATCCTACTTCCAGTTCCTGCTAAATACTGCTTATGTCTGTCCACATGAGTAGAGCAAACCACAACACCAGACACTTTATTGATAAAACGTAAAACTAAACAATAGTAGACTAAACACTTGATGAAGATAAGGATACTGTGTTGAAAACAAAATGAAATAGTATAGAAAAACAGTAAGAGAGAGGTAAAAAAACAGTTCATGACAACACTAATATTAACCGGTTATACCTATAAAATCTGATGTTCAATCATCTTTTTAGTTCATTTCTACATCGATCAAGATTATTATTAACATTACTTGTTAGTAATAAGACTATTCGAACATTATCGCCAATTTACAAGCTACGAATTACATATGAAATATATTATTTATCTCTGTAAATTTATGGATGAAAAACATTATCAAATGTTACTTTTAAATAACAGTCTATCGTTAAACAAATAATAAAATGAAAATGTTTCACTGTATAAACGGATATCAATTGAAAAACCACTGAGAACTAGAGAACAATGAATAGTTGCTTAAGCAGTGTCCATCGAATTACTACTACCTCATAGTTTTAAAAAGTATCATCCACGACCCAAGCAAAAATTCTTAAACAAAACAATTTAATTTACAGTATATTGACAAATAAAATCAGTATGAATGTAGTCGCACATCTCTTTGTTCCATAATGTTTCCTATTAGATTGATGGGTGAAATAATGTGGTGATATAATACGTAATTCATATGAGTTTTTGTATTTTAATATAGGGTTGTTTAAATCTCATATATATATATATATATATATATATATATATATATATATATATATATATATATATAACTTCAAGGAATATATAACATACTTAGATTGTAATTTCATTCAACTTTCAGAAAGCTGTTCTACGATTGATATGTTGTTTTCTACTCGATTTTAACGTGAAATTTCATTTGAAAGAAAAATATCTCGTATAATAATTATTACAGTGAATAAATCTCTTTAATTAGTTAATAAACCGGAATTATTTTTAAAGTGATATTTAGTTGATTGAAGTATATAAGCCTACATGTTATCTGACAAAAGCTGAATAGATTAATTGAGTATTATGAAAGTAGTAGTAGTGTGGTATGTGCTACTACTGTCCACAGATCTAAGTTATATATATCATCAATCGAAACTAAAATGCACGGCGGCAGCAGGTTAAGATCGAAGAAAAGAGAACAGAGAGTGATTGGTGTAGAAACAAATGAACAATTATATCTGAGACGATTAATGGACATTGTGAAAATGAAGTGTTTGCTGTATGGTTCACAGATTTTGCAGTAATTTCAGGTTCAAATACATTTAGTTATCCCTACTGGTGTTCTCGTTCACTAAAGTAGTAGTATTAGTAGTAGTAATAGTATGATTTCTTTGTTTTTCAAAAGATTCGGATACTACACAATGGCAAATGAATGTCGTTAAACTAACTAAATATATTTTAACCAAAATAAGATTGAATTATATTCTAAATAAAACTAACTATTGAGTTGATTTTATAAATAAATTATGAAATTTATGCAAATAAAATTATTTTTTAAAAGATTTACAACATAAATTATAATTATAGTTTCTTCGAAAAAGAGTTCTGTAGTAGTAATGGCTATACGTTTCTCTTTATTATTCAATAGTTAATCGGTAAAGTAGATATGCTTAAAAAATGATAATCGTTAGTGAAATATTTTATTATTACTACTCTAAATAAAAATTACCCATAAAAATATGATTATATTTCATTACTCCTATCTCATTAATTCTTAATATTTACTAAATTCAGTTATTATATAGTGTTTTCCCCTCACGCAAACTTTCTCCAAATTCAATATTGTGTCTATGTGGTTTATGCTACTTATATTGATATAAGTAGTATATGACGCGAGTTAAAAACGTAATGTCTGGCAGCAGAAGATGAGGGAAGATCAAGAAAGGAAAAGTGGGAACACAATGTAATTTGTAAGAAAACGTATGAACAATGAAATGTGAGACGATAGATTGATGTTTGCAGCAGGAGCAGTCCAGATTGATATGATGGATTAATATTTTGCAAATTAACTATTTGCTATATGGTTTCTCTAGTTTACCAAGTAACTCTGTGAGTGTGTGCTAAATACATTTGATTGTCCCCACTGGTGTTCTTGTTTACTACACCTGTACAAACATTGATAAGAAATTGGTCTATATGCATAGTGCATTCTTAGTTAAGTTTGCATAATTATTAGTGGTATGATTCTAGTGAATACCGTTGAAATTTATGAATGGTGTTTTAAGATGTTCCTGAAAGTAAAATAACTGGAAAGTCACACTTAACAGATGAGTCCCAAATATAATAAGGCCCATACCACGGATCCCATTTCTAGTCACTCACAACAACAAAATGGAGTTGTATATATACGTAATATAGCCATTTCTTATCAATTAACTCATGTTAATGCGGACCAGTCAGCTGAGCACTTATAACAAAGGCATAATGAAACCTACAGAAACCATATACTAGGTATATATAAGTAAATCGTCATACATAAATAAATATGCATATATTTTTGGTAGTCACCCATATTGATCAATCTGATGAGAGAACTCATCTATTAGAATAAATAGTTCAAAAACGTTTTCCAAGTCCAACAAAGGCATAGTCCCTCGGTAATATAAGTAACAAGATCATTGTGATGAAAATTTCATGATTGCTTCTTATTGAGAGGACATGTAATTTCATTTTCCACCGGTATTCTCTGATTCCATAATATTACACCTTTATCCACATGAAGGATAAATTTAAAAATAATAAACTTAGGGAAAATTATACAACCACTTGTAAATTGAAAGAACCAATGACAATTGTGAACATTATGAAAGTCCAAATAAACACTTCAATAATAATGATAACACACTTACTTTTCATTTCTAAACTTTGGTAAACCTTTATAATCATTATCCGATTGTAAAGATTTCGATTTTTTAAAATTTGAAGGAAAATATTTCAATAAATTAAATTTGCCCATTTTCTTTCCATCATTATTTGAAAGACTTTGATCATCAGTGGTATTATTATTCAATGAATTCATAGTTAAATGTTTTGTTAAAACTAATGGAGCTATATTATACATAAACTTTTCACGTAATTCTTTCAATCCAGGATAAGGAAATGGTGCTAGTTCATAGATTTCAAATATTAATTCTTGACTGCTTACTATTCGACCTTCTGAAAATTCCGACATTAAATTACTCATTGTAGCGTAAAATTGATCAGCTGATTTTAACTTTAACAAACGACTGTTAACAATGAAAAATATTACACAAAAAGCATTAGATCTCACGTTGTGTTAAATATTCAACTGAAAGTTATTTCGTTTCCTATTAATGAAAAATATCGATTGAGTCATCGTAACAAGAATTCGATCCAAAGAAGAAATCTCTTTTCACCTATATCATTCTTATAATTATATAATCGCGTATGTATGAACATTTTTCTCTCACAATAACTATTAAATGAACATGGTAACAACAACAGACTTCCAAAAATATTATTCGTATTTAGAGGTTAGATCAAAATAGAAATGAGAATGTTTCGGAAAACCGACAGGTAATAAACATTATGAATGTAATCAAGATTACAACCCAACCAAAATTAGACAACCACTGAAAACCAGGAAGCATTGAATAGTTTTTTCGTCTTTGTATAGGACACTTCAGCATCATATACCATTGATCTCACAAAGGATCGAAATTCAAGGCCTCAGCCCTTGCAGAGGTTGCGTAACTTTAAACTACAGAGACGGAAATAGATTGCTGTGCACTTTCGCAAGTTTATTGAAATTAGACATGTAAGCCCTTCAGCAATCCCAGTAAACAAACCCCATATACTGATAAAAATTATAAAACTGAGTTAGGTAATATTGCAAGATAAATTTTGAAGAGGATCCATATAAGACAGAGTTGCGTAATGTGGTTCAATAAAATCTCACTCAGTAGTAATACTACAAAAAATCCATCTACAGTTTACCTAAAGAAAGTTTATTTGATCAATCTTTATCACGTCATTTAAAATCAGGGTAATTCAAAAGTATGAAATTAAAAATTTAATGTTAATTGTTAGCGGAAATGAAATGCCGCGGAAATCGAACGAACACTACTTATACTTTTATTATGGTCTAAATAATAACTAACGTGAGTGATAAACTGTATACGGTAATTCCATGTACCTTCTAGTTGTTTCAAAATATTCTGCAATAAAATTGCCCGGAAATCACAAGATCTCATCCAATTCATCTTGTAGCAAGATTATTCTCAAATATTATCGATCTTCATTCACTTCACCTTGAATCATATTTATTAAGTTAGGATTTTTCATTGGAATAGTGGAGCGATAATCATGTGATATTAGATTGCTAGTGTGAAATTCGGTTAAAAACCAAGTTTTACGTTATGAAGAACAATATCTCAAGACCTAAGTATTTTATTGCACTAAATATGATAATAACCATCTATCATCATGGTACTTTAGATATTATGAAATATCTACGATAAATGGGGAAAACAAATGATTTCATGACAATAGCAACACATGCTGTCTTTTTGAAGTCAATCATTATTAGTTTAGGATTTATTCAGAAATAAAAACTTTATGACTGCTATGAGCAAGCATAAGTAATTCAATTAGAATTAGATTCCTACAAAATAAAACCACTTTGTATTTCCTTTTGAGCAATGAATTCTGTTCTTTTTTATTCTTTAAACAATAAAAAGGGTATACAGTGTTCCACAACTTATTAAAACTCTAATCTCTTTTATATAACATTAAAGCAGTAAGTTGACTACGTTTGTCATACATAATTATTGTTATAATCATATGATTGATTCTACAGTATAACACATATATTCCAATACCTTTTCAAGAAATCCATAATGACTATAGCTGTTCGTAAGATCACCTCAGAACCTTCTAGTAATATGCTATCCCATACACGTAGAACTGCGTCAGATGCCAAACAAGTAGCAAACAAAGTAAGAAACCATTGAATGATATAAACATTCATTAGTGGAGGTTCATAAGCGCCATGATTTTTTCCCGATAAAATATCTTGTTTATATGTAGATAATTGTCTTCCAGTCAGCTGACAATCTGTTTCCAAGGCTATCATGAATGGATAATAAAATACTCATACGAATAACTAGTTGGTATACATACATAACGATATAAACATAATTTAAAGAGAAGATTAACCATTTGAAATGTAAGCAAGGTGGACAGTGGCTAGCTGTGGAGTCGAAGACGCACGTTCCGCCCCATTCTGAACTCGTCAGCCAGATTTTTCAATGTTTCGATAAATTGAATTGGTTAAATAATTTCGAAGCCAGTCAACAAACAACTTCAAAACAATTTACCTTCTAAGTAGGAGGTAGGAGTGAAATAGTTCATAAATAGAGAAAACTAAGTAAGTATTTCTATAACACTAGACAATTGAGTGTTTACAGCTTATTTAGAGAAGATTGGTCTGATTACTATAAATTCTAAAGGATTCTTTCTAATAGATGGAGAATAAATAATAATCAAAAAATATCGTTGCCTATAAATGTAACTATTTATAACTATTAGACGAAAGCTAAGCATGTGGATTCATACTACTTACCACTGATAACAGTAAGTAAATACGGACAAAATAAAAGCCTAAACTTAACTGCGTAAACACTAAGTCAGAGCTTGAAGAACAAAAGAAATATCTGAATAACAGACTAGATCTAAATGAATTTTAAACTTCGATAGTGTAATAAGAACTAGAAGATTATCAGAGCTATGTGGTATATTAGCACAATACATATCGAACAATCTGATCACACATACTTGCCAAGAACATTTATATATAAAAAAGGTCAACTAGACTAGAAATGAAGGGTAAGAGAAGACAAGGATAATAAAGAAATGATGTGAAGATAATTTGAAACCACATCACTCCAGATAATAAGATAATATTACCAGGATAGGCTTAAGGTGAAAACAAACTGAATTGATATATATAAATTATTTGTTTTTGTTTGTTTTAACTCATCATTATGTTTATTTATCGCACAAACTATTAAGGTGCGTTTATGAAAAGTTTACAACCTTCCGCTGTACATGTTGCAAAAAAGCCCAGTCAGATACATTGTATTTGTTGTCAATATGCAGCGAAATGGATGTACATTATTCAGATGTCGATTGACTGGACTGCCAACTTCTAGGGGCGACCACTCAATATTTTTCGTCAGGATAGACGAAGAAGTAAGAAACAGAAACTTGTTGAAATACTTTGTGTTGAGAATTCTATATTGTACCAAAAAATATAATACTGAATAAAGCTAATAATGATAATTCTGACTATGTAAATGATAAACTATGGCAATCAAGTCAATAGTGTTCCCATCCCCCCACCAGATTATAAGCAGTCTAAAAGATAGTTCAGAAATATGCATAGGATAGACCAGAAGTGAAATCGCCTAAAATTATCCTATTTAGACATGACATCACCCTGAAATCATTAAAAAACGGTGATTAATATCAAATTTATCATGCTGTCTAAGAAGCATGAGGCATCTAACTGCCATCACTTTCCAATACTAGATGAATCATCTGACTTAGTATGCGCGTACATGGAGCTTTTATTCCACTCCTAGCTGTAAATCTTATGAAATGACTAAATCTCGACATCATCACCAAAACCTACCTTGGCTTTGCCGACTTGCACCACCTATGTAGCAATATGCAACTGAATGTCGAAAGGTCAGTACACTGGGCGTCAGTTCGTTTCGTATAACTTTATGGATATGAAACATTGTTCACATATAGTATACTCTAGAACCATAAGTGCCAAGGTTAGAAGTAAGTTACTAATAATACATAGTATGAGAAATAGTGTAACAGTAAACCCTACTGCATGAAGGCACTAGGGTAGAATTAGAATAAAAAGTGTATATGATTGGTGAGACGAGGACATAACATCAGTTCATCATTAGTCTAAACTGAATCAAGAGGTGAAAACTATTTAGTTCAGTTACTTTAAATCAGCAGAATGCAATGCTAAAAACTTTCAGTGGCTTCGATTAAAATCAGTTTCAGCTGAGTAGACATATTCGGTTTATATCCCAATAAATGTTGTCTTACTTTTTATTCTTCCATCTTATCTAATTCTTTTGAACTATACACTACGTTCGATACTGTCATCTCAATTGTTGATTTTCATTAACTTAATTTTCTTCACGGCTTCTCGGTAACACCGAACAATCTCAACAGCCTCAGGACAGATGAGCATCATATGCTCAACAGCGAACAGCTTCGAGAGAAAATCCCCAAAAATCAAACAAGAAGCCACGAGGAGTGGAGTTCCTCCGTGTCAAGTGTCAAGAAAATACTGACTGAAGACAATGGAAGATAGTAGTTCGATAACTCAAATTGACTGAATTTAGACTTGTACACCACTGAATCTCGCCTCAGTGATCTAAAGGTTAAGAATTCGTGTGCGAGACCAGGGGTTCCGGGTTTGATCCCCGACGTTGGGATTTTGGATGCATGCTGACGAGGAGTCCAATGTTAGGAAGAAGAATTTCTCCAATACTGTCAGATTTCCAACTCAATTTGGTTTGTGATCTTAATAGTATTTAACAATCACCAAAACCTACATACTGGTGTTAAAATATTTATTAATGTGTCGAGCATGAAATATAACATCAAACGACTGATACATACTGACCTTCTAATAATATAAAAACAAAAAAATCGAAAAAGAGCAAACTAACCAGCTTTGAATTGTAAATTATCTAAATGATTCGCTAATTCGGGTATTCTGTTTTGTAAAAGTTGTCGGAAAACAGCAATATCTACAGATAATGCTTGTAAATTTTGTGCAAAATATGATTCCGGTAAAACATAATCAATTAAATAGACCATGATCTATAACGAAAAAAATATTATTATGACGTTTCTTTATGTAACCGAAGAAACTGTGGACAATAAAAGTAAGCGTAGAAAAGTTACATGATGAATTAGTCCTAAACAAAATAAGACCTAGGTGCAAATGTTTAATCAGAACAAAGCTTCCCATTTTATGTCAGTGTAAATGAAAGCAAACACAATAAGATCAAAAGTATTAATGTAATAAACAAAAGAATTGTAATTCAAATCGGGAAATCAAAGTAATAAAATAGCTAAGTAGATAACTTGATGGCGTTTGAAGCGAACGGTACTGGGTTCGAGTCCCAGGGTGAACATCAACTCTGAGATGCAGGCACATCCAGCTGACGAGTCCCAAATAGGATGAAACGCATGTCAAACTGAATTTCACCGCTAGCCACTGTCCATCTTTGTCTAAAAATCTTTTGACTTGAAGCTATATCGATGCGATCCGCACAGGATGCACATATGCCAACATGATACTGATCAATTGCATTCTCAAATAACAATGGGTAGATACAAGTAAAACAACACCAAGTGAAATCAAAATAATAACAGTTTGGAAACAAGAATTTACAAGAGTATGAAAATGATTATAACTGAGCTATTTTTTAACTGAATCTGAGCTTAGTTATCTAAAATTTCGAATGATATTATACGATTATCTCTTTTAATCTTCACTATATAATTTGCATTTTATGACATAATTTTGTTCACAACTGAAAAAACAACATCATAATTATTAAGTAAAAAATAAATGTACTAAAAGTACTGTACAATAAATTGAACAAAACATAGAGAATGATTTACTATCGCTATTCTAATTCAATTAGAATAGATTCTATAATAACAAACAATATAGTCGATCAAATGTACTCAAATCTTAGTCGAATTCCTCATTATTAATAATAATGATGATTAATTGTTGAACAACGTATACAATTGGTATTTTACTTTCAACGACAAAATATATACGATAAAAACTAGCTATTAAGCTATTAAAAGAAAAGATTATTCGATGAGAAAAAGCTTATATTAGTCCCCTTAAATTTTGTTTTATTGATACTATCACGTGTTAATACCAATTCAATTTCTTTGGTTTTATTAAAATGAATATTTAATTTATAATACTTTTTACTTAAAAGTACCACTGATTAATATTGTGTTCACGACATTTCCGGAAGATTATCAACACATAGTAGATTATTTGTTAATTTTCATTAGAAACAATATTTTTTTGGTACTTTTGAATATTTCATTAATGATGTAATCATAGTTTATTCCACAAAAATAGGTTTTTATCTGTCATGGAGTTTGTTTGATGATTTCGTACAATTTGAAAGTTATTTTTTTATAATGAATTCATATCAAATAGATAACTATTCAAAGTAAACGCGCAGTGGATAGATAATTAGATCTAAGTATCGTGCTCATTATGAGACCAAGAGGTTCTAAATTCAACTTTGTGTCATTTAGTGAGTGCATAATGGTAAAAAGTCTTAAACTGAGATGAAACAAGTTTCGAGTAGTTTCTGATTCTTAGTGGTTTCAAACAATGTCTGATCATACAAAAAAAATTTAATCAACCGATTGTGACAGCTATATACACAAAAGTACAGTTCACCCCTAAAAAAATTAATATCGTTAAAAAAGATATTTGCTTTCCTGAATAGTCACTTTTATGTAAATTAATGTATTTGGTGTCCTATTAGTTATTTCAGTTAAGTTATTTAAAGTTGAAATGATACGTGAAATAGGAAAAGTAAAGAGTGAATCTATTAACGATTTGTTTATCAATCATCAATAATATAAGTGATCTTCATTAATACTTTTACAGTACACTATATGATAAAATTTAATAAAATAGTATTTAAAAATAATGCATGATTTAAGGTTGACATTATTTATGTCAACAGGAACTCCACTTTTCAAGTCTAATTTTTCAAAGGGTATACTCAAATTTAACTGGATATAAATAATAATAATAAGAAGAAGAAGAATAAGAAATAAACTTGAATATTCATATGATTGATTCATTATTGCATCAACAGAATTATGAAATAACTAACTTTTGATTACAATTATATACTGATAATTTGCAAAGATATCACTATTAGGACAGGTAGAGTTAATTTTCTCGTTTAATAACTTCCTTATGAAAGGAAACTGAATAATAAACAGTCTAAAATAAATAAATTTCAATCGAAAGCAAATGTAATTTAGGTATACTAGTTGAAAAAAAAAGAGACATTGTAAAAACCCGGTTCTATTCTATGAAACAAACATGAAAAACAATATGAAGAGTATTTTGATATATGAGATACCAAAATAGATTGGACAAGAATGAACGTGTCTTTTTTTAGAAATTCAATCGATTATTATTTATAATTTTAATCTATAGATATAGATAATTTGGCAATATAACACTTGAAATTTTACATATAAATGGTTGGTACATCAAGAGAAAAACAATCAACGCGTAATATTTCTACTTATTCTTCTATTATTATAGTCTCATAACCTTTTAATACATTTTTGCATCAAGATTTGTTTAGATAACCTCTGGTAAAGAGATAGGAGCTCTAAAATCAATCATATATTTAAAAAGTTGATAAATGAAGTCTATTTAATCAGAATTATATAGCTTTAGTGTTAATTTTGTAGGAGAATGAGTGTTAATTTTCCCAGATAGTTGATCAAGACCATACAACATGAAGCAAAGGGAGTTTATATATGAGATGTTTTGTGCAAGTTAACATCTGAATATTGTTAAACCATATAATTTCACACTTACTTTGAATGCTTTTTTTTCATCTCTACCAGTAACATCTAGCACACCAGCAGCTATTACATTAAAACCTTGACAATATCCTACTCGTTTATTCCATCGAGCATAAGCAAGAAGGACACGTTTCAACGATGCACGATCTGAATCTGATCCGAACTGTTCACATCCAGTACGATGTAGATCTTTTACAATTTGTTCACCTAATCTGTCATCATCTTGATTAGATGGTTCATTGAAAGCCATTTTAATCTCGTGATCCCAATCGACATGTTGCTTAGCTAATTGTCTATCTGCAAGAGTTGACCATACACGTGAACGAATAGCTGATGGTAAACCGTCTCCTATACGAGCCATACGACGTACGGCATTAATCCATTCAGTGAATGCTTCATCACCTAGACGAGGCTCCATACTGAATTTAAGATTTGGATCTTGCCCTGAAAAAATGTGTAATTAACATACAATTAAAAAGTAAACAGTCATAATATCTAAGTTTCTGGAATTTTACAGATCTTATTTCATAATTCCTTGTACATCTATTGAACATAGTAAGGACAAGTTTAATTATCGGCTATAATCTTTCCCGAAAATTTTGTATAATAAATGTGTAAGCATTGCGAATAAACATAACGCAAAACCGATCTTCATAATAAAGATCTCAGTCTTGCGTCGTGGAAACACTTCACTATTTAAAAGTTTTGTCAGTTTTTGAAGTTACTTCAGCTAAGGGTCTTAGATTTTACTTTTGTCTGACAGACGTTTGTTCATAATAAAAATATTTGTAAATTTCATGATGTGAAAAACTTCAAAGTAAACCATGGGCTTAATAGTAATTCGATGAACAGTAATTATTTACACTTGATTTAAAAGAAGAAGATGAACAAGGAGTCCAATGTTGAGTTTTCCATTTTCATTTAAGCCTATGCTCAGAAACTTGAAATCCCTCACATGGTCTAGTTCCTTGATAAACTGGGGTATTGCTTTTATTTGTCTATACCACCCTCACTTGACTACTGACCAAACTAACCCTTCTACTTCAGGCAGATCTCACCCACTTGTATTAAGCTTATCTCGAGTACATCAAATAATAGAGTTTCATAATTTTCCCCAAAAGTATATACTAAATATCATAAATATATGCAGACCGAAACAGACTATAGTGTTATTTTTAAAAATAATTTTGCGATATATTAAAGGGTAGCTTCAAAATGTCACGAGAATATATTTGTGTGTTTAGAAAAGTTGGTAAAAAACCATGGTAATCAAAATTTAAAGAGAGCTGTTAATCAGTGTGAAATATTACACTTTCAACTCAGTTTATTCTACAAACAGATTGCTTTGAATGTAGAACAAGAGAATGCTTTCTTTAGTAAAAGTCTATTGCTATCTAAACTGGTCATTAATATAAATATCAAAAACTTCTATTGATTCATTAGATCAATAAAAGATCATTACACTGATCTATAAAAGTGGCTAAAGGTTTACATATTTTTAAATTTTATCCCACGGTACTACGCATAGTTTTAACATATTCAACTCTTACACTCACAGAAGACTACCAACAGTATCCAACTAATCCACTAATAATATTCAGAATTTATTGTCCAACAAAAAGTTGGAACGAAACAAATGTGTATACGGGTAATCAATAATTGATTAAACAATTGACCGAAATAGCATTTCAGTACGAAATACAAATAAACAAAGCACTGTAAACAATAAAATATACCAGTATTTAATAAAATAAATTTGAACTACTTACATCACAAATCTATATAATTAATTATTTACCCCAACAAATTATATAACAACCATTAGGAACATTTCAAACGATTATATTAACTCAAAACTATTAGACTTAAAGGCATATTAGACTCTACTTTGCTATGAGAATAATATCATATATTCTAATGTAAAAGGTCTATCTAGAACATATTTAATATATGGTAAACGAATACCATACTGTATAAAGAAATCCCATTACTATAACACTTGAAAACTTTGTATAAAACCTTACTTGGGTTTATAGAAACAACTCTTCTTGTACCAAGTCCAGGAGTTAATGACGGTTTAAATTTAAATAAACGTTTATGGGGTAGATTTAGTGGAAAACTAGTTTGCTCTAACGATAATTCATTCACTGTTGATCGATATAATCCAGGTCCTCTACGGCCATGAGTACCTTTGTTGCTAGGATTTTGTAATAAACGAGTCGAATATTTAGAATAAAATTTTTTCTGTTGACCATTCCGTTTATTTGGATGAGATAACATCCTTGAATTATTCTCTTGCTTCATTTCAGACAACATCTCCATTTATATATTTCCAAGACTAGCTTTGAAGAAAAAAAATCTACATCACGCTAAATACACCAGTGCTTCATCAACTAAGCTTGTTTCTAAGGTGTAACTGGAATGTTTATTGAAGTAGGTCTATAAATGTTTTTTTATCTGAGTTGAGTTTTAGGTAAAAGTAACCTTCAGTGAAATTGTCATATAATTGGTCGAAAAAAAACAGCCAATCATAGAGTGGTAAAAATTGATTTGCTACTACTCATTTTAATTAATTGATTGGTCATTGTAAAATCGTAGATAATATGATAAGAAATAAACGATGGGATAATATTGAAGATAAATGTAACTTGTCCATACAAAAATAAACAACCTACTATCACAAGACGCTGAGAAAACATAGGTCATTCACTCCTTTTAACCAGATAACATTGAGTAAATTTCGATACAATATATTTTCTGAACTGAAGTTGTTCATAAACTAGTGTCAGCATAAGTTTCTATTCGTCTTAAATGATAATTTTTGAACAAGAATTTAAATGTTTAATTCGAGAAAAATGTATTCTCAAACACATACATTGCACAAGCAATAAATTTGAAAAACTAAATTATTCTTTTGTGTTAGTCTGGGATATATTGAAAAGAGAAAAGTTTACATATTTTCCTTCTAGAAAACTCAGGCTGAAAATCACAACATTATGGCTCAATAATAGTGATTTCAGCTCTCTAAAATCTTCAGTTTCTTATACGTTCTCCTATAAGAAGTAAGGAAGTAAATGAATAAAACAGCATAAATTACATTTTCACAACTTTCTTTTCAGCTACAACTGTATTACCACTAATTCGATTATCTATATAAGATCAATCCGTTCATTTATTTCATTGTGCCGTTCTCACAATAAATAGCATATCAAAAATTGTAAACTTCTAACAAGGTATCATATCCAATAAATAATTTTCACCATGTTTCTTAAAGAAACTACTTGTGAACTAAAATCGGACAATGGGTCTTCCATTATTCGAGTAAATACCGAAGCTTATACAAAACTGATCAACCCACTTAATGTATAACTACTTGATATTGTTTAAAAAATACAGACAGATGCTTCTTTTCGGAAATGATCTTAAAAATTCGATGTTATTCATCACTCGTTAACATAGATGAAAAGATATCTCTTCAAAAGGATTCTATTATAATTCAAATAGTTCTTCATAAGATGAGATTGTAGAGGCTATAAATCGAAATAGCGAAGAACTCTGACTCAAATATTCAAACACCTGTCAAACAATTAACCTTAGAGTAAACTATTACCACATTACAAACCAGTCATTTTATTAAAAATATTTTAAAATCAACAAGTGTTAAGCATTGTTAATAAAGGATATATATCACACAATGTTAATAATTTCATGAAAACGCTTCTGAAAGTTTTAAAGTAAACTATAGTATGACTAGCCTATGATAGAATCAAACGATTGTACGAATAGAGTAACCACACGAGTCTTGAAGAAAATGTTAGGGCTCATATTCAAAAGTGAAAAATTAAGTTGTAGAATAAGCATTGAATCTACACTTGTAGTACATTGAAATAATTCAGCTGACACTTCATATTTTAGTGAAAAGATTAGCTGGCCCTCATCTTCATAGTGATAATTCTCATTTTAAGTCAGATACACTAGTCGTTTGAAAACCTGTTTTTTTAAACATATCTATCCTTAAATCCCTAAAATATGGAATGCATTCTGATTATTTGCTAATATTAATAATACATTTAGTTACAGAGTATAAGTTTATACACCAGATCAGCTCCTAGATAAGATGGAAAAGTTAAATATTTCTTAAAGAAAATTTGCTTACTTATAAGTAGGCAAACGTAAATTGAAACATTTAACTGTCAGTTATGAAAAATTAATATGGTCTAGTTCATTCTTCATTGGGAATATTTTAAATAAAATGTTGTAAACTAAAGTTTACTGAAATTTAGACCCAAAACAGCCTATAGTGTATGAATTCCGGTAATCCCAGAAATTTAACAAATTCGCAATATATGGGCTTGTATAAAACATTTCATGAAGCTCATAATCAACTAATGCTGTTAAACTGAGAAACAGTAAATACTGTTTAGTAAATTGCAATTTCATGAACTCAGCAAAATCCATTTTATTGTCCTATGTTACTTTATTTATTATTCAATGATTGCCAATATTTTTTTCCTAAACTTTATTACATAGACTCATTTTTAACAAAAAGTATTTACAGAAAAGTTAAATTTCTACTCTAAATATACAAAATGGAAGACATTGAAACAATTGAACAATTATATGACAAACCAGTAAAACAAGAAAATATCTATAAACTTTATTATTCCTTTACCATTTTTTTGATAATCTGCTTGTAGTAAAGAAGTAATACTACCATAAGTGTTATGTAATTGAATAAGCAAATGATTACGAGTTTCCAATTCTCTAACAAGTTTATCAGACCATATCTTACATTGTTTCAATAGTTTTGTATAAATAGACTTCAGTTGATTGAAATCTAAAGTAATGATGAAAAAAAACTAAAAAAATTCAGTAATTCACTAATTATAATAAAATTTCGAAAAGTAAAAAATAATTAGTTCAGTATGGATCATTACTTATTCTCTCTAATTGAAATAAATAAAGGAATTGAAATGTGAATTATTTTACCGAATTTTGTTTATTAATCGAGTGACAAGTACTTATTAGAAAAACCCCGTGGTTAATAAATGACACAGAAAGTATAAAGCATAAAGACAAGGAGGTTCGATGGTTATATTTAATTAACATTGTGAAAAATAAATCTGTCAGAGATATCCTTTAAACCGTTCTGCTGTATGGTTGATAAAATTACTTGGTATACAACAGAATATCGAAGAGAATTTTGAATTAAAATTGAGTTTGACACTTAAATAATACTGCAAATTTAACAATATACAATTTCACTTCAATTTGTTAGATATGGCAACTTCACTCTTAGCTATAACCTCGTTCTACACATTATCTAATTTTTCTTTAATATATTCATTAGTTTCTTTTTTTTTTAAAGTGTACTCATTTCTTAGCGTTTATTACTGAACTGATGTTACAAATAATTAGCTAATGATGAATTGACTGTTAAAGCATTCAGATTTCCTGATTTTGACCAACGAAGCTACCATTGAAGATGTTATTTAACATAAACTAAAATCGGTTTAATTTCATATCGTTTTTCAATTTTCAGTTTATCATTACTGTATGTTTCTTCTACTTTTTAGTTTCATTTGTTTCTTTTGAAACGTATCCATTACATCTAGTTTCCTACTGTAACGAAAAGGAAAGATCAGTTCTTCAAATTTCTGTCTCGTTAATTCCCCTTTTCGGGATGTTGATATTTAGTATGGCGAATTGAACAGATACAAATTCACATCGGGTCCCAAGTTATCCATTCCCTATGTTTCTGAGTTCCAAGAAAGGTGCATACTCAGTTTAAATATACGTTGGAAACTGTATGAGATATCATGAAATAAAACCAAAACACATATTCTGATATAACATTAGTTAAAACGTAATAAGAACATTTACGTTCTATCGTATCATTCATTTAAGTGTGTAGCATATAAAAAGTGCCAAAATATTCCACTTTATCAATTATATGACTGTAACTTCTTCAGTAATTTATAATCATGATTCGTTTCGTCTGCCACTGTACGTAACATCTAGTTTGATTCAGTTACTTGTCATCAAGGTAAGGCCTGGTAAACATATGAGTTGACCCTAGTTTCCATACCACATTAGCAGGACAAGATGAATTTCAAAATAATCTAGTAGCTATGATAATAGTTAAATCTAAATATTGAGGATATGGTTCGAAAAGATAGAGTAGAACGTCATGCTGGAAGGAATACTGGAATTTGGGATAAAAAGCGGATGTATCTGCAACATTGTGAACGATTATGAGCCATGTTACACAAATTCTTGAACCAATATTTGCGGTTATCACCCAGGTCATATGTATATTCTAGTATAGCTCGAACAAACAGTCAATAGCTTCATGTACCATTGTCACATTTATTCCGTCTTACTCATATGCATTAAAGCATATCTCATCGAGATAGGCAGTGACTGGGAATACATAACACATATCCTACCCATCTCATTCGATAAAGATTCTTGACTCTATCAACTGACCTGACACATACACGAAGGCATCCATGATGGAAGACTATAGCCCATAAAAATCCTCTACTTTCAAAGTTCACGTTCTTAATTGTCGTATTTTGCGCGTATGGAGTAGGACTAAATGAACTACTGGGCAATACACTCACTCTTTGTTTTGTAGACGGATATCTCACCTATCCCATAAGTGACGTAAGTCTACAAGTGTCCGTCGAATTTTCTGAAACCTTGCCGATATTTCGTCAGGTACCAACGTACCAAGGCCAATGAAACGCTCGTGATAAGTTAATTGGTCGACCCACTCAACGTTCTGTTTTCTATCACTAGTCCAGGCGTCTACGTAGATCAGATTTAAAGAGAGTGAGAATCGAATTCCAAAAATGCCTATGCCGTTGCTCAAGGTGATTAAAATGCTCTGGATTTTGTCAGCATCCTCATCAAACAGAACTAAATCATCTGCGTTTTAGAAGTCTATAGACACACCCCCTGATAGATCAACCCGCGAACAGTCAGGTAAAGAAAGCATTCCTACAAGGACACGTATGACGAAATTAAATAAAAGGATAGACAATGGAGGACTGACGAACACCACATGAGGTCGATAATCTTGGTGAGTCTGCTATAAGCTGACTAAACCAATAGAGTTCTAATAGAAATTAGTTTGCGAAGTTCTTTGGTACCTGTTTCAATGACTTTAGATTTGGGTCCACTAACTGACTTAGCACTTAATAATTCATGTGACCAAGCTTGTTTACAAACGTAATTTGAATTAAGAAATCTGATATTTTATATACAAGGTTTCCAGACTGTGAAACTTATTCTATCAAAGACAAGCAAAGTCGAATTTGGATGTTTTCAGCATTCACTCGAGCAGTTGTTAGCTTGCATCTCTATAAGTTACATCTAAAGATTATAAACAGTTGCCTCAAAATCGACAAACGTGGGAAAATTTCATTCTTGAGCGCTAAAACCTGGTAATTGTATTCCATGTAAGATGCCGTGAAGACAGTTTGCGTGCCCAATATCAAGACACAAATGGATTTAGAAAAATTGAGTTAGATTCTAATCATTTTCGAATGCATTAGAAATGTTCCATGTTTCCACAATATAATTCCATATTATTTCACTTCGAACCGCTCTTACGCATTTCTAAACGTGTTATTAACTACCAATCACTAACCATTGCACCAAAATCGCAAATCCAAGTGTGTTGATGTTAGTATTCTATTCGTGACTACATCACAGCTGAATAAGTATTAAAGCTGACATAGAAGGAATGACAAATTTTTGCCCTTCGGTAATTACATACCTAATTATATTCCCCTACTAGTAAGCAGGAAATTTTTTAAATCAGGAATAAGTTCCTGACCAAGATTCGTAAATTTTACAAAAAAGCCCAATCTTCCTTCTTGATCTCAGGTGACCTGGTGACGATATGTAAACGACACTTCCATATTCAGAAAATTCAATACCGTGCAACCCTAAAGCTATTAATTGTTAAGTTTCCTTATTGTTTTGTTAACAAGTTAGCCCCGAAATCTGAAGAAACAAGTTTATATTTTTGAAAACATTTTGAAACAATACGGAAAATCAAATTGAATTAGAGATATTTATATCTAGTCTGCTTAAAATGTAATTCAATTCATCTCAATCAAACCTCTTCAACAATAAAATCTTTTCTGAAGATTTACGTTCAAATGAAAATAAATACAGATCTACATTGTACATTACTTGATATAGTGGGCTTAACGAAACATCAAGGTGTCTCTAACATAACTATTTAGTGATTTCTTTCCTATTTTCACAATGAAAACGCCTCATACATATCTGCATTAGTGTTAAATGAATTTCTATCAAGATTTAAATCTGCAACCTTTATTAGCTGGCTAAAATGATTAAAATTAGTTTTTCTTTGGATGGATTTGTTTTTGGTCTAATAATACTTCACTGTTACTTTATATATGCCTATAATCGAACCATGATGTGACTAATATATTCGTTCTTCACTTCAATCTATTTAAAGCTCATATATTGCAAAATATACTATACTTTGAAATTCATTCAAAGATATAGTTGAGATTAAGACATTTGGACGACTACTAGTTAATCATCTACTCAGCATATTATTCATCATAAAAACATAACGTAATTTGAGGTTTTTATCTCAAAAGTCCCAAATAGTTAGCATATCATGACTTTGTTTTTGATTTGCTATGGACAGTTTAAGGACCTATAAGAATAAAACTACTTACTAATAGGACTCAGTTATATGGAAAAAATCATATAAACTATTCCCTATTTCTTAAGCACTGACTGAGAAATTTTAACGATGAATTTTGAGTTATTCGTGCCAAATTCCATGATACATCAGAAAGATAATGTCAGGAAATAAGATGAGAATCAATAACCAACCTACATAACTCTACTTCATATTCACGTAAGCATCAAGATTTTCACAATATAAAGGGTTTATGTTGAAAATTTTTCATGTATAGGTTGTAGAAATAACCTCGAATTCCATTTTTATTTACAATAGCAAGATTCCGGCACGGTAGTTATTTTTCCTTACAAAACCAAATTTCATTGTACTATTAATTCAACAGCTTATCCCTTTTAGCTACATCTAAAAATGACCACTAGCTTCATAATGCAGATAACAACCAATTGACGTGTATTGTGACTACGGATAGATGTAATCATTGGACGATTTACAATGAGGCAAGTAGATTGACATGTCGAAGGGAAAAAAGAACGACCATGAAATAGGTAATGAAGTGCATCGAAACAAACCAGTAGTGCAAAAAACACCCTAGCTATTTGTCATGGAATCAGCTCCAGTTCACATTCTTAAGTTTCGAACATATTGTACAGTCATCAAGTTTCGATTACACTTATATGTGAGATAGGCTGTTGTGTTATCTAAAAACAATAAAAACTCTTGTTACAAAAACTAGCTTCAGAAACCCACTCAAATATCCGACAACTATTGCTAGGTTTAAAAAACTCTTGATCTAGGAAGATTTTATGAATTAACCCACCAATTCTATGAAGATTTCTATGAATCAAAGCAATCATTATAACTGGTGGTTTTAAAATTAAATCAAGAGCGGAAATATTCGTAAAGTCATTATGAGACTAATAGAGGCTATCAATTCCGAATCCATGTGCTCATGGATAAATTTAGAACATACTCTGCCAATAAACCTACACAAATAAGGTGATTTGACATCTTCCTAGAACAATTAAACAGGCTAACATAAAGTGATCGTATGATAATACATAGTCAACTAGATATATTTGGTAGATATTACTTAAAGATTATTTCTCTTTAACTATCCCACGCAATATTACAGTAAATGAACATAGTATAAAATTAATGGGACATATGCATAGATTGAACCAATAGACGCTATCCTAGGAAAAAAAGTTATCGGCAGCAAAATGAAGTAGATTATACAATTAGATTGCGATATTAAAACAATCGGAACCATAGTGGACTATTTCTACAAAATGAAGTGTACTAGCATGAACATTTGTTAAGTATAAATAATTCAATACCACTCTATCAGTTTAAGTGAAAGAAATCACAAATAAAACCATGCGATTATTTGAAAGAATAATCATAATACAAAAGAAATTGATTACCTGATTTTATCAATTCATTCCTGAAGTCAGACTGAAAAGCTTAACCAATACAGATTTTGTAAATAAAGTAGAAAAACAATATTTCATAATGTTAAGGAAAAAGGGAAATATGAACAAAAACAATAACAACCGACAACCCACAAATCAAATTACATGGGAAATAAAAACAGGGAAATAGGCAACAAAAGGAATAGTAATAAGCAATCAGGAATAAGTTGAAAGAAAATGTTAAAATTATATTCAAATTAACAGGTAAAATATAACTAATGACATTAGCTTAATGACATTTAATAAACCTTAGTGAACCAATGATTAGTATAAATATTTAAGAGACTAACAGTTGTAATTAATAACCAAACGATATCTCACAGTTGAGTGTATTTTAAACACTTTTTGCGTTAACGATAATGTCAATTACGCAATAAATTGTTATTACGGAAAGTACAGTTTCCAACAAATGCAGAACCAGTGAAAACTAAGTAGGATTTGCATGCTACATACTTACAGTTTTAAACTTCACTTGGCAAGGCATACCACCCTTGATTTCATAATAATCAATGCGTATAAATCTGTCACTTTAACTATCAGTCATGACCCAGCATAACCATTAAGGTTTAATCGGTCAGGTATCGTTTTCTACTGTTGATCTTGACCACTCCTACGTACTCATGAAGAAGTATTGACAGTTTGAAAGTCATGAACTACAACCTTTCATTTCAGAATTAGAAACAGAGATGATAAGGTAGTGACTGATTTAACTATTTAATGCCATAAGTACTGAATAAAATTCATTCGATACTTGGGTTTCTCAACATCTATGGTAAAAATTATAAACATTGAACCATAGCTAAAACTTTGATTGCAAACTTTATATTCATCATCCAACTAAATCGTTCACTTCCGGTCAGTGCAATTAGATGAGGACCAACTTTAATACAAACCGGAACCACTAGTTAATAAAGATAAAGTTCATGATAAAACTCATGTTTTAGACTGAAGACCTTGTAGTGTCACAAAACATAAGTAATAATAGTAGCTTTCATACCAAGTTATAGTTTTAAATCATAATTTGTCCACGATGCTAACGGAAACCAATATTTAGTTGAATCGCCACACTATAGATCTACAACTGTGCCACTGAGGAAATTCGATTCGAGTAAAACATTTGAAGGTAGTCGGTCGAATTATTTACCCAATAACCAAATCATTTAGGCATCGCACTAACATGAGTGTGATTTAGCATCAAAGTAAAAAGCGAATCTGACCCAATTACAACGATCAAATGTATCTATCAGAAAATCAATAATATGACGTGAATAAACATAACCAAAGGCCATTATATATTTTGTTTATTTGGTGAAGACGCTGACAAAATGCAGTCTTCTGACCACTCTAAGCAACAATGCAAGCATGTTCGGGATGCGATTCTCCCCCTCGAAATGCAAAATGTTGCTTCAGGATTGGGTTGCATTGACACCCGAACTAATGATAGGGAGTGAAGTAATTGAGCGTGTCGATCGCTTCACTTATCTTGGAAGGATCATCAGCCCTTGTGGTCTGGTGTGTGACGAAATCTCATCACGCATACAGAAGGCTCGACTAGCTTTTACCAACTTGCGTCATTTGTGGCGTAGGCGAGATATCCGTCTATCAACCAAAGGACGGGTTTACTGCGCAGCAGTTCGTTCCGTTCTAATTTATGGCAGTGAAACATGGCCGGTAAGAGTAGAGGATATCCGTAGGTTACTAGTATTTGATCATAGGTGTCTTCGAAACATTGCTCGTATATCGTGGGACCATCGAGTAAGTAATGCAGTTGTTAGGAAACGGGTACTAGGTAAGGATGGCAAATCAATTGATCACGTAGTGAAACTCCATCGGTTGAGATGGCTGGGACACGTGTTACGTATGCCCAACCACCGACTGCTCGACGTGCGATGTTTTGTTGTATAGGAGTAGGTTGGAAGAAACCAAGGGGCGGCCAGACCAAAACATGGCACAAGTTCATGAAGTCACTGACAAGTGGTCTGAGTCATGTCGGTCGGTGTAGACTACCTGGTTGGGGACCGCGAGATGATAGCAACCGATGGTTAGAGACCCTGAATGACATGGCTCAAAATCGTTTGCAATGGTGCAGGTGCATACACTCTTTGTGTTCTCCCAAATTCTAATCTTCTGAATTCTTCATGTCCCTTTCTTTTTTTTCCAAGTTTATTTCACTGGATTATACTCCTAGAATAACATCTTCAAACCCTAATTTTTCTGATTACATCGTATAATTTCACTACATCTAGCACTACAGGATTTGAATCGACCACTGCATCTCTGTGACAATGGGGTGTGGCAACTCGAACTGATGTACGTACGTACGAAGTTCTACGTTGTTACTGACTGAATGACTGATATATTTTGTTACAAATAACAGTTAACTTTGAAAATCTTGTGGGGAAAAGTAATACAAAACGTACAAATCAGTTTCAGGGTTCGTATAAAAGTCTGCAAGCAACAATCATAATAAGACTAAACAATGAGAAAACTGTTTGAAAAGAAAAAAAATTGAAAAGATATATGTGGAAGAATACTGGAGTTTGAGATCTAGAGTAAGGTAAGGAGTAAATGTATCTGGCCCATGACACAACATGTCTCTAACCATTGATTACAGACATCGTGTGGACGCCGCAACTAGGCAGTGTGCATCTACTAAAATGATTTCGACCAAAAGTCAATGAGCCCATAATTTGATGCTACATTTTAGTCTGGCCATCTTTAGTTTTCTTACAATTTGCTCATACATCAGCTAACACCAGTAAAAGATATACACAATACTCATAAAATTACTGTTTGCTACAAAAATGTAATTCAGCTTGATGAATATCTTTTAATTTAATACATCCAAAATGGTTATTTAGAAATGATTTGACCATTAAAAAGCCAGACTGGGAAATTAGAAGACACGTATTTTTCAATTATTTCTACGAACACATCACCAAACCTGTACATAATTTGGTAAAATACACAAATTCATTATCACCAAGTAAAATATACTCAATCACATGCATATAAAATCAAGGACGAAGTGGCAATGTGGAAATTACACAACAACGAGATGTGAACAAAAGGAAAACCACAAAAACAAACCTCACCAAAAACCGAAACCCATGCAAGTTTGATAACTTACAGAGAGACGAATGTTTATGATGATTTTTTGACTAAATAGCATGAGATTGCAATATGAAAATTAAACTACAAAGAATCAAGAAACTTGGAAAAAATATGAATGAAAAGAAATTTGTACAAAAGTTCCAATATTTTATTAATTAAAAACAAATAAACACTGAAGTTGTTATGTTGAATAGTTAGATGGAATGTTTTTGTTAGCTTGATTAGACGGAATATTTGAAGGAGTTGCATATGAGGATGAACCATTTGTAGAAAGCGTACTCGGTGTGTTTACAGACTGCCTTGATAAACGTCTAACAACGTTGATATGTTCTGCATATTGTGTCATTGTTAGTCGAACGCAAACATGAGATAATGGAGAATCATCTTGCAGGAAGTTATTTTCCACTGGAAAAGTTATTTGACTGGGTGGCCAACGTGGTGCATCAAATGTGCCTGTTTCA